CGGCACTTGATGATATGTGTGCCGGCGCGTTTTGCCAGCAAACAGGGGAGTTTTTAACACTGCATGATTCTTGGGTAAACGCTTCAATGTTTTATATCATGTACCTTTGGGTATACATATTCTCCATATGAGTTTACTCTGAAAAAGGAGTTTTTTTCTTAAATCAACGAGCCAGTTTCTTATTCTCAGTATAGGGGAGCTGGCGCACGTACCGCCCACCTAAGGGAAATGAGTCTTTTTTCCCAGCCTCGCACTCCACAAGGAGTCATAAACGGTTAGAATGGGTTCTTCGAGGTGTTTACTCGAAGATGTGAAGAGGACGGATTTTTTATTAACATTAAACATATTTAATTATGTCATTCAATTGGCATCGGTCAGTGAGCGATGGAATCGAACTTTGAGGGTAATACCGCCCGGCAGCCGTCCAATACCGCCCACCTTGGTTTCATGATTTTTTTCAGCAATGCAGACCAACTGTTATAATTTTTCCTATTCTCATCCTTCGTTTCCATTCTTTGGCTCCATTTTGAGAAAGATTTCACGTGAATAATAATAAATTATCCTGAATTTACCCGATGTTCCAGTGGCCACCGACTACCCCAAACAGTCGAGCTGTCACTCGACCGCCCTCTAGCTGCAGAGCCTAGCAGCCCTATAGAAACCCTGGGCGGCATTACCCACAAACGCGAAGGCTGATAAAATAGCCAATAATAACTCATGAAGATATGTGGACGTCCGCATGAAAAGGCACCACTTTGTCGATATGGTGTTATGTATACTCTGATAATATTGATAAAATTCCGCACATTTTGAGCCCAAAATGATCTTCATAGGGTCAAAAATGACGTCGTTGGAGAAGATGGAAAAAACACCTCAACATTGGTGTAAATGGGAGTTGCTGACACAAAAACGTGAATATCTCGGAAACTAGAATCGACAAAGTGGTCCCTTTTCATGTGGACGTCCACATATTTTTCTGCTATCGAAAAAATCGCAATGGCTGCGGAAATGTATAACGAACATATATTTTTCACTCCATTCAATTATGGACCAACTGAAAACTTGAAAAATCTTGAATTCTGGGGTCGAAATATTTTAAGAATTCGATAGAAAATGATTTGATTTTTTTAACGATGGTTCCACGGTAGAAAATCTAAAATTTCTGTTAAAATTACCTGTTGTTATCAAGTATTTGCATAATAAAAGCAGAAAAAAAATTTGTCAGCCAATCTTCAGAAATACGGGTGGGCGGTGCAGGCACCAGCTCCCCTAATGCCTGATAAAATCATGAGTTATTTAAAATAATTAACTGAGTCCTGGACAAGAATTTTTACTCTCAGCGTTTCCTCAAAATATTTTTTTTGAGGAAGCAGGTATTTGAATATCTCACCTCGTACCCAACAATGTATGACATGAGGGATGCTGGAGGCGCCTACTTAAGGCACGAAATAAGACGAGGAGGAATGGGGAACGTTTGAAGATCGTTCTTCCAGCGAGTTACACATAATGCCTCATAAACACCAACCCCTAAAATGCCTGACATCGTTCACGATGCCAACGAGTTATACGGATAGTTGGGCGGCATCACTCCCTCCGTAGCTGTAAACTGCGGGCTTGTTGAGGAGACTATTTTCATGCAGAGAACAAAATTTTTGAATTTCAGGAAAAAAAATGAATAGATTAAAAAAAACCTGTAATGATCAAATTTTTTCAATTTTCAAATTCAAAAGAGCGTAAACAATATTAAATTATACTGAATGATTTTTTAATATTCGTTCTACTGATTGCTAATGTTTTCTTCAAAAAAGACCACCAATTTCGTCTCAAGAACTTGTGCAGTTGCTTCACAACAGATTTTTGTAAAATAGAAAAATTGAAAAAATAAAAGTGACGGTGCTCTTAAAAGGGCATTCTTCATCTCCTTGGCTGGTGTGTAGACATGCGACGTATGCGAGTCGGATAGGTCGCCCATGCTTGATATTTTCCGGTGGGCGGTGGTGGTGAGCCCGTTAAATGTCGTGGTTCACCATAAAAAAAGCCGGCTGGATACAGTCGCCCCGAGCGTACGTACACTGAAGAGCCTCTTTGGCTATAAAATAAAAACTACCCACTTCACTCTACCCTCGTGCAACAATAACACTAACACACGTGTGTTATGAATTTCAATGCTCTGGAAAAAATGGCTGACGCCTCGGTATTTAGTTTTATGTGTTTTATATGGGATATGAACCATTACTGTCATATCCAGATTTTTCTTATAATGAACCCTGTTGATGATTTCGTAATTTTAGGCGCTTTTTTACAAGGTTTTTCTCTCTATATTACAAAAATGTAAATCAACTCCAGAATTAAGGGTGGCAAGGGTCAAAATGAGGGTCATAAGGGTTAGAATAAGGGTCATGAGGGTCAGATTATGGGTCACAAAGGGTATCATGAGGGTTACGAGGGTGAGAATAAGGGCCACGACGGTCAGATTAAGGGCCATGAGGGTCAGAATAACGGTTACGAGGGTCAAATTAAGGGCTATATGGGCATATTAAGGGTCACGAGAGGTATAACGAGGGTCACGAAGGTGAGAATAAGGGCCATGAGGGTCAGAATAAGGGTTACGATGGTCAAATTAAGGGCTATATGGGCATATTGAGGGTCACGAGAGGTATAACGAGGGTCACGAAGGTGAGAATAAGGGCCATGAGGGTCAGAATAAGGGTTACGATGGTCAAATTAAGGGCTATATGGGCATATTGAGGATCACGAGAGGTATAATGAGGGCCACGAAGGTGAGAATAAGGGCCATGAGGGTCAGAATAAGAGTTACGATGGCCAAATTAAGGGCTATATGGGCATATTGAGGGTTACGAGAGGTATAATGAGGGTCACGAAGGTGAGAATAAGGGCCATGAGGGTCAGAATAAGGGTTACGATAGTCAAATTAAGGGCTATATGGGCATATTGAGGGTCACGAGAGGTATAATGAGGGTCACGAAGGTGAGAATAAGGGCCATGAGGGTCAGAATAAGGGTTACGATAGTCAAATTAAGGGCTATATGGGCATATTGAGGGTCACGAGAGGTATAATGAGGGTCACGAAGGTGAGAATAAGGGTCACGAGTGTCAGATTAAGAGTCACAGAGGTCAGATTGAGGGCAATGAGGGCTAGAATAAGGGTTACGAAGGTCAGATTAAGGGCTATATGGGTCGTATTAAGGGTCACGAGAGTTATAATGAGGGTCACGAGGGGGGAATAAGGGTCACGAGGGTCAGATTCTGAGTCACAAGGCTCAGATTGAGGGTCATGAGGGTCAGAATAAGGGTCACGATGGTCAGATTAAGGGCCATGAGGGTCAGAATAAGGGTTACGATGGTCAGATTAAGGGTCACGTGGGGTGTAATGAGGTGACTTAGCCGGTGCTACAAGTGGAAATGTCCGACGACTTGATATCAATACTACTTAAAATATTTCAATTTTTTGGAATTTGTGAGATTTTCCCAACTGAACAATTTTCTGTTGGTAAAAATGGGAAGATAAAACCTGTTGAAATTAAAAAAAAAATTCAACAGTTTCTAAATTAAAAAAAAAACATCGGTCAAACAAAAAATGTAAATTTTAATCAGAAAAAACACTTAATGTGAAAAACAAAACAGAACAAATCCGATCAATAAAACATGCGCACGTACCGGAATATTTTCTCTCCAATTCGTTGATAAAAAAAATGTAAAGTTATTTAAATAGTTCGGGTAAACATCGCCGCAGCGGCGCCGTTCTGTTTCCACCCCTTACTTCCGGCACATTTGTGTTGCGTGCCCATCGATCCCGTAACACGCGACATTGGCCATTATGTGCGTCCCCCTCAAAATATCCCCTCTGATCATCTTCAAAATTCATCCAGCGGGAAGAAAGTATCCATCAGAACTGCAGGAGATAAAAAACAACAAGCACAAATACGTAAATAAAAGCCGTCAGACTGAAAATTGTGTTGAAGTGTAACGAACTGTTTATAAAACAGAACGTTTGCCTAGGCTGATGTTCCGTATGACTATGACGCCTCGGCAACACAGCATTGAAATCGTGTGAAAGCAGTAGAAAAAAAGTGTGAAAACCGAGTGGGAAAATGTGAGGTGGAGAACGGTTGGATAAAAAATAACGCGAGGCCCCCGCGCCTGGCCAGAATTGGATTTGAATAATGAAAGCGTGAAAAAACCGTTGAAACCAAAGCTTTACCCGCACTTTTATGGTTTTTCATTCGTTTTCGCGGTTGAGCTATCGTTCCACTGGGGCAGGAAAAACATTCCACTTTCACCATTTCCATCTCTTTCGCTCTATCACTGAAAATCAAGTGATAACTTGACACTACTGGCTATGACGTAGTCGAAACGATCAACTGTTTTTCTTCTGATTGGCTGAGAGCGCTAATTGGATTGATGAATTGGTGTCGAATGAGTGGAGGCACATTTATTGAAATATTTTTAGCGAACGCGAATGTGCTGATGAGGATACACAGAATGGCCACAATTCTGAATATACTTTCGCTAACGGAGCCAAGAGATGTGACCCGGACTTACAGCATAATTTTTATCACAGTCTCTGATGTCTTTAATCTATTATAGTTCATCTCGGCTTAACTCGACCTATTTCCCAGTTGAGTTTTTGAGGAATATTTCCGAATCTATGGGAGATAGCGAAATTTTTGTAATAACATTTGTTGTAGCATTCAATCGGCTCGACAAAAAAGATTATAACAACAATTTTGCTATCTCCCTTAGATTCCGAGATATTCATTGAAAACTGATCAACAGTCAAAATTGACTTGTACCGTTTTACCACTTCGCTACTGAATTGTAAATATTTCCATTCGTTCGCCATCTTTAATTATTTCTTCGCATGGATTTTTTCTATCGAATAAATGTAATTTCATGGCACAATAGAGAATCGAAAATCATGAAAACGCAACATTTTATTTCTACTTATCCAATCAGTTTAATTTGATTCTGCTTCACAGGTAAAAGCTTCACTCTGACGATAATGCTGCAGACCCAACCGCCGCAAGTGGCCACACTTTCCAAAGCCATTAAAGTAACCGTCGACGGACCCAGAGAGCCGAGATCCAAAACGAGTAAGTAAAAGTAAACTACACGGAGAGAAAAATTCGCTAAAAATTACCAGAAAAAAACGCGAAAATTACGTTTCGAAACGTAATGCGCGAGCGGAGTAAAATTCAATAAAAAGTATGAGTCGGAGCTGAAATTGTACGAATCGCCACGTAAATTCTACGATTTGTTCCGTAAAAATTAACCACCCGTCTGATGACTCACCGCTGTGGGGACAACAAGTCGTTCCGTAATTTTTCCCCAACGATTGAGAAATTTTACGGAACGTAGAACTAACTCACGAGCTTCATAAAAATTGTTGAACGTTCAAGTTTCTGTAAGATTTAACTTCTTCGGGAAAAATTACCCGACAATTTCGTACTTTGTTCGGTGATGAACCTGAAAATTCACTGAACGTTTCAGATTTCTTCTCTTCCATTCCTATAAAAATTTCCGGAAATCGATTCCCCATTGCGGATTACGCAAATTGTTCCGTGATTTTTACTGAATATTTCTCATAATCGCCCGAAAACATTACCCGGATGTGAAATACTCGTGATAGAGTCCCTTTAAGAATTCCATGTTCCATGCGAAGACCATAAGCATTGGACAAGCTCACCAGTAAAAAGCACACCCTGCAAATTGATCACGACCCGATACTAAAGAAATCAACTCACGTTTTCAGGACAGCAGGCCTTTCATCCCTACCACTTTGGACCGCGGCCATTTCCCTTTGGACATCCGCAGGACCCACTGGGATTCAAGCTGTCCGGTAAGTCTGCCAACTGCACAGGAAAATCCCAATTTTCATCACCGGGAATTTCCACACCCCCAGCATTATCCTCAAAATACATCTGTCCTCCTTTTCGGCGGAGACTTCAGCATCAGCTGTACCCTCTGTCGATAGCGTAACGAAGTTTAGTACCTTAACCACCCTCTCTCCTGTACTCAGATTAGACTCCCTCTGCCTCACACTGATACTCAGTTGAAACTAACCGTCCTTTGACACCACATCTCCATCCTGCCTCATCTTCCGCAGCACTTGTACGATTTCTCTCTCGTCTGGTGATTCGCCTCCAACACCACCACCGTCACCTTGGCAAGGTAGAGTGTCAAAATTGAGCAAGGCACTCGGCTCGTCAAGTCACCGGGGAGTCAAAATTGAGTTTTATCAATTTTGCTGGGAGAAAGACTCTGATTAACCGATGCATAACGTATCGTTGTCATATTCATCTAGTGATGCCGCGAGACACTTTACGAGACAAAACTTCGGAGAGATGATCTCGCTCTCCATGAATACGAAAATCTTTGCTCTCGTCTCAGTCTCGAAATACGCAGTGTCGACTCCTTTCGCGATGATTCCGAGTCAATTTGTCTCGTCTCGTTCTCAAGATTTTCGTGTTTTTTAATGTAAAGTCTCGGTTTTTGTCTCGGTTTGTCTCGTCTCGGTTTTCTACAGATAAAAAATGCGAAAAACTGGAAACCGAGATGAGATAAATTGACTCGAAGTCATCACGAGAGAAGTCGACACTGTATTTTTCTAGACGGAGATGAGACCAAAAATTTGCGTGTTCACTGAGACCGAGGCAATCTCTCCAAAGTATTGTCTCGTAATGTCTGGTGAAATGTCTCGCGGCATCACTATATTCGTCGCTCTGTGAAGGGGAAGAGCGAAATCACAAATGCAAAAATCCATCATTTTCAGTCGAGAATCATTTATTCTCTTTCAAGCGATATCCCCCGAGCTGTTTTTAATCGATCTTTCAATTTTCAATTATGGGATTTCTGAAGGAAAAGAATTGGAAGTTAAGGTGTCAAAATTGGAAAAGGCATTCGGCCAAAGGGCTACTCACTCCCGAAATCATAGCGCCACTCCGCGATAAAATCAATATGAAATCACATTGAAATCAAGTGAAACCATTGAAATCATCAAAATCACTGAAATCACGTGATTTCAACTCACTGAAATCATTTCTGAAACCACGCTGAACTCTTGAACTCATCCCGAAGTCTTATTTATTGTGATTTCAATTACTCCTTCACCTCTAGGGGCCTCTTCTCGAAATATTTTCGTGCGCGGAATCGACTCCGTTGACGGAACGCCGATATGATTCCTATACGCAATTCGTCTACGAAGCCACTTCCGTGCACGGAAATATTTCGAGAACAGGGCCCCTGAAATCAATGATCCACCGCTCCGTGAAGTGGAGGATCGAAATCAGAAAAAAAAAATCCATCATTATTCCTCCCACATCCAATTTCCATTCGAGAATCATCTGTTCTCTTTCAACCTCCACTCCCCGAGCTGCTTTTTAATCGCTCCTTCAATTTTCAATTGTCGGATTTACAAAGGAAAAAAAATTGAAATGATGAAATAACGCTCGCATGCCGGAGTAGATTCTAGAGCTGGAAAATTTGACGGGACTAAAATTCCACCAAACTGGCCGTGGGGAAAGGGGAGTCCGGGGATTTAGAGTGGAGAGGGGACACAAACTGATACTGGTGCACCGACAGTGTATTGTTTCGGCATGATAAGCAGCTTAACGGAAGTTCCCTCTGCCTCCGCAACTCCTCCACCAATCTCTCTACCAACTCCCGCGCATTTTACCAACTGTGTACCTCTTCCAACCCCCGCCGCCGCCCGCCGGCGATCTTTTTCGACGAGACTACTGATGGAGCTGTCCCATTCCCATGGGATTGGTGTGCTCGTCAAAACTCACCCTTCGATCGCTGTTACCAACTAACACCGTCGAATGATGGAGTTGATGCTGGCGCTCTGAAGCTTCCGGTTTTTTCGTCGAGGAAACCTCGAGCGCGGAGTCTTCCGAGGGCGAAAGGGGTCGGCCGATGACTTGTGATTGTGGTCGACTCGGGGAAAAAGACAATCTGACTTAATCCGCGGGCTTGTCTTCTTCAGGGGAGTGATGGGTCATGTTGGGAAGTTTTAATTGGAGGGGGTCATTGGGGGAACGGTTATCAAAGGTCTCAGTGTCAACCCTTTTGTGTCGATGGATTTGAAGATATCTGAGGGCTTTTAATGACAACACGTCAAAGGTCTTAATGCCAACCCTTTCTGCTTCGATGGATTTGAAGGTCTGCATTTTCATTATGAGTAATCGGGATTTTCCTTTGATAATACATCATAAACTTTTTCATTAGTGCATTGTCGACAATCAGAAATCAATTAAGAGTTTATTGGGATCAAATAAAGATTTATTAATTATTTTTAATCGGGATTTTTCTTTGATAATACATCATAAACTTTTTCATGAGTGCATTGTCGACAATCAGAAATCAATTAAGAGTTTATTGGGATCAAATAAAGATTTATTAATTATTTTTGAAAATATCTATTTTACGTAAATAAAACTTTGAATAAAATTTTTTATTTCATTTGAGAAAAAAACTTCAAATAATCATTTTTCGTCTGTTTCATTTTGGCCCACTCTCTCCTAGATCTTAAACTTTGACACGGATCATCCCAACTCTCACTGTCAAGCCTTTTGATTCAATGGATTTCAAGCTTTCACTCTGAATGATCCGACATTTGAGACTAATTTCATTGTAATACATCCTAGACTCGCTGATTAGCCCACGCCATCGCATAAAAAGTGCTGATGTCCAAGGAAGCAGATGAAAAATGAAGCCATTGAATCCCCAAATTCAGAGTAACCAACACGGAGAGAAATTTTTTAGAAAAATTCTAGTGCTAGCACGGGAAAAGAGGCGCAAAGTGACGACCAGGAAAAAATTCCAGTGCCGGCACTAGAAATTTTATTGAGGAAAACATGAATTTCCCCGTATTTCTGTGAAGATTTCACAGAAATCCCCAGAAATTGTAGCAAAAATACCAAGAAATTTTACCTTAACAGCACTAGAATTTTTCGCAGACGATGGATTGTGATTTTTTCCAGCACTCGTACGAGAATTTTTCTATAAAATTTCTCTCCGTGAAAGTTCCCTCAAAATCCTGAAAGCTCAATTACCACCCGCTCCCCATTACCATCCGATCCGCGAGCTTAATCAACTCGTTCGTTCGAATCATTTGGCGCCACATACCGATTCAACCCTTTCGCCCGAGTGTTCCCACGTCTGTCCAGAGATTGCGCCACCGGTCAGTCCAGTCCGGTCAGTATTAACCCCTTCACCCCCGCCGCGCCATGTATTCCGTACACTCACGCACACGTGAATTCACTGGGTGTATCGTTGGCGCGTCGAGGGTGCGTTTTGTGAGGGTGGTTTATTAGATATCCGCAGAGAAAAAGTGGAATCAGGAAGGTGGGGTAGACGTTTGATAAGGAGTGAAGCTCCAATGCGCCGGGGGTTGGAGGGGCTGGAGGGTGTCAAATGCTCGATGAAACGAAGGCGAAAGATGGAGACCTCCGGGGGTTGTTAAGGTGCCCATTGAGGTGTAACTAGGGGGATGTTATTAAATTTCGTTCGGCCTACCTCAGCAAGCCGGGGGAGAAACCAGTATTTTATGGGGATCCGCTGGGTATCTGTGTTGAGGAATATATGCAGAGGGTCGGCTGGAATCCAATGAGGTCCGGTACGAGGCCCTTCGACACTCTTGAGTATCTCGATTGCAAGGGTTCTCTCTCGCGTTCATCTTCCCTCGTTGAAGCTCCATTGTCTCATTGGGAATGAAATGAGGGGTCACGTGACACTTCGGCTTCGTTGCAAGGTTCAAGTTAAGGGGAGGTCCACCCCGGGAGACCAACTTCTTCATTTTTCGAGTCGGCATAATCGAAATTTTGATTTACAGTCAAATTTGGAAGATGTCAATGGTTAATATTACTCAACAAATTATTTATTTATTTTTTGAAATAATCATTAACTCAAATTTTGGAATTCCGAATCATTTTATCAATCAATAATTGGGAAATTAAATTGCCAATTATTATTTGAGTAGCAAAGTGGTAAAACGGTATAAGTCAATTCTGACTATTGACCAGTTTTCAATGAATATCTCGGAATCTAAGGGAGATAGAAAAATTGTTGTTATAATCTTTTTTATCGAGCCAATTGAGTGCTACAAGAAATGTAATCATGAAAATTTTGCTATCTCCCTTAGATTCGGAAATATTCCTCAAAAACTCAACTGGGAGATACGACGATTCGTTTTACCACTTCGCTACTGATATTAATTTTCAAATTTCAATTACGATAAATAAATCTAAATTCCGTCTCACTTCTTTTCAAATATCCTCTTCGGCACGTTTCATAACATTCTACACTATTTGCAGTCAAAATTCGAAAATCAAAAAATCGGTCAAATATAAGGTTTCCATTAGGGACCAAAAAAATCGAAAATAGTATTTAAATTTTTTTTTACGAAAAACTAAAGTTGTTTTCTGGGGTGAACCTCCCCTGGAGTAAATTGGATAGTGCGAGGAGTCGTTGTCAGAGTTCATGAGTTGAAATCAGGAAAATCACTCAGAATTTTCGAGAGTGATATTCTTCCTGAGCGATTCAGATAAGATGTCTGAAAAATGGCATGAGAGAATAGAGATGAAGAGCGAGAGAGAGGAGAGTGAGAGCGGCAGGACAGAGCTCTGTGAAGATCATTCTCGAGATTGTCCAAGAAAGCACCCTCATCACTGAAGGCACATCCTCACCCAGCCCTCTCCCTCCCCCTCGTTTCCGCTTTTTTTTTAACCAACCGTGGCTGCTCACTTTTCTATCTCGTCAGTTTCATTCCCGTGGAGTTGAAGGGGATGAAAAATCGCGAGAGCCCCTGGATTCGAGTTAACAAGAACACCGCGTACGCCA